GTGGAGTCAGTCCCTGACTCATGTGACCGCGCGTGTAGAGAATAAAACCCTGCCTGGTCCTGCGTCATCCCCTTGATCGGTTGCAAATGGGACCATTGTGAGCCATAGGGTTTTCACTAGCTGATTTTTGAACATAGGTCATCAGGCCTTTCTTCCTAGTCTGTCTTAGTCTGGAAGCTTTGATGAAACCTGTTCAGCATCCTAGCAACACACAAGCCTCCACTGATCGATGGGTGGTTGTTATGCATGAGGTACGTTAGCTGGGAATTGAACCCAGGTCTCCTGCATGGAAGGCAATAATTCTACCACAGAGCCAGCTCTGCCCCGTTTTATGGATGTACCACCCGACTGGAAGAGATCCATATTTATGCTTATTCCAAAGAAAGGTGATCCAACTGAATGAGGAAATTATCAAACAGTATCATTAATATCACATGCAAGTAAAATATTGCTGAAGATCATTCAAAAGTGGCTGCGGCAGTACATCGAGAGGGAACTGCCAGAAATTCCAGCTGGATTCAGAAGAGGACGTGGAACCAGGAATATCATTGCTGATGTCAGGTGGATCCTGGCTGACAGCAGAGAATACCAGAAAGATGTTTACCTGCGTTTTATTGACTACACAACGGCATTTGACTGTGTGGATCATAACAAATTATGGATAACATTGTGAAGAATGGGAATTCCTGAACACTTCGTTGCGCTCGTGAGGAACCTGTACATAGATCAAGAGGCAGTCATTCAAACAGAACAAGGGGATACTATGTGGTTTAAAGTCAGAAAATGTGTGTGTCAGGGTTGTATCCTTTCACCATACTTATTCAATCTGTATGCTGATCAAATAATCCGAGAAGCTGAACTATATGAAGAAAAATAGGGCATCAGGATTGGAGGAAGACTCATCAACAACCTGTGATATGCAGATGACACAACCTTGCTTGCTGAAAATGAAGGGAACTTGAAACACTTACTGATGAAGATCAAAGACCACAGCCTCCAGTATGGATTACACCTTAACATGAAGAAAACAAAAATCTCACAACTGGACCAATAAGCAACATTATGATAAACAGAGAAAAGATTGAAGTTGTCAAGGATTTCATTCTACTTGGACCCACAATCAGCACCCATGGAAGCAGTAGTCAAGAAATCAAAAGACGTATTGCGTTGGGCAAATCTGCTGCAAAGGACCTCGTTAAAGTTTTAAGAAGCAGAGATGTCACTTTGAGGACTAAGGTGTGCCTGACTCAAGCCATGGTGTTTTCAATCGCCTCATATGCATGTGAAAGCTGGACAGTGAATAAGGAAGACTGAAGAAGAATTGACGCCTTTGAGTTGTGCTGTTGGTGAAGAATATTGAACATACCGTGGACTGTCAAAAGAACAAACAAATCTGTCTTGGAAGAAGTACAGCCAGAATGCTCCTTAGAAATGAGGATGATGAGACTTCGTCTCACATACTTTGGACATGTTATCAGGAGGGACCAGTCCCTGGAGAAGGACATCGTGCTTGGTAAAGTAGAGAGTCAGCAAAAAACAGGAAGACCCTCACGGAGATGGATTGACACAGTGGCTGCAATAATGGGCTCAAGCGTAACAACGATCATGAGGATGGTGCAGGACTGGGCAGTGTTTCATTCTGTTGTACATAGGGTCGCTATGAGTCAGGACCAACTCTATGGCACCTAACAATAACAACAATACCAGTTTGTTTTCTCCTTACCCCCTGAAGAACACTTGGGTTGTTTACAGCTTTTGGTGACTATGAGTAGAGTAATATTCCATTGTATGAATTTGCCTATTCTGTACATTTCCTATGAATGGGATCATATAATAGATGGCTTTGGAAGATGCATTTTAACCAGGGAAGACCCTCAATGAAATGAATTGACACAGTGGCTGCAACAATGGGCTCAAACATAACAACGATTGTGAGGATGGCGCTAGATCGGACAATGTTTCTTTCTGTTATACATGAGGTCTCTGTGACTTGGAACTGACTCAGTGGCACCTAAAAACAATTGCGTGATGAATCTGCTTCAAGAATCTGGGTCCATGCTGATTTCATCAAGAGCATTAGGGCCATGGGAGAGGCCAAGTGTTGTGCTGGGGGAGGCCGGTGGACGGGAGGTGGTTAGGACTCCTTAGGATCTGGGGGAACTCAGTGAGCCCATTGGGACATTTGGATGAGCTGATGTTGGGTAAAAGCAAGGGCAGGAGGTCTCGTTTTTATCAGAGCCATGAGTGGGAATCGACTCAACGGCAATGGGTTTCTGGTTATTCCAAAAGCTAGAGAGGTCCCTGGGTGGCGCAAATGGTGATTCAAACTCACCCAGAGGTGCCTTGGAAGACGGGCCTGGCGATCTGCTTCCAAAAGGTCACAGCCTTGAAAACCCCATGGAGCGCAGTTCTACTCTGATGCTCATGGGGTTGCCGTGAGTCGGAATCGGCTCGAGGGCAACTAACATCTCAAAAGCCAGAGCTACCTCATATGAGCCTGGCTGCCAGTTTGGTTAATAATCTTTTGGCTGCAGGTCACAACGAGCCAATCAAACTGACTTAAAGAGAAAGGAAATAATTTAGATGACGAAATTGAAAAGTTCAGGGGTATTTCATATAAATGGAGTCACGTTGTTGTTAGGTTCCAACGAGTCGATTCAGACTCATAGTGATCCCATGAGTGTCAGAGTAGAACTGCCCCGCAGGGTTTCCTAGGCTGTACTCTTTATGGGAACAGATCACCAGGTCTTTTCTCCAGTGGGGCTGCTGGTGGGTTTGAACCACCAACCTTTTGGTTAGCAGTGAGCGCTTAACCGTTGCATCACCAGGGCTTCTACAAGTGGAATCATACAATACGTAATCTTTTTTGGTGTGTGTGTGCTTTAGATGAAGGTTTACAGAGCAAATTAGTTTCTCATTAAACAATTAATACACATATTGTTTTGTGACATTGGTTGCCAACCCCATGACTTGTCAACACTCTCATCTTCTTGACCTTGGGTGCCCCATTTCCATTTGTCCAGCTTTCCTGTCCCCTCCTGCCTTCTTATCCTTGCCCCTGGGCTAGTGTGCCCATTTAGTTTCGTACACATGGTTGAGTTACATTATTATTGTTCATTTTATCGCCCTGTCTAACTTTGGCTGAAGGGTGAAATACATGATCTTTTATGTCTGGCTTCCTTCATTGAACACAATTTTTTTTTTTAGATGAAAATCATTTTATTCAAAACACACTAATATAG